TTGATACATAGCCACTTGGAATAAAAGAAAATTTGTCACCAGTTTCAAAATTTGTTTTTGCGCAAGCGCCATATCAACTTTCTTATTTATGGAGGGATTTAAATGAAATTTGATACATAGCTACTTGGAATAAAAGCAAATGTAGCGCTATTTTCTAAATTTTGTTGTGTGTAGGATGTGCAGTGCCAACTTTCTTATTTATGGAAGAAATTTCGTAGGGGTGTTAAAAAAGAATGCGCTTTACTTGCACAAGGGTTGTGCACAATTGGTACTTGTTAAACCTTAAATTTCATGTTTTCTTTCAGCCTAACAAAGTTTCGTGGTTCGCAGGATCTCGATTAGGGAATCGTTTGCAATACAGATGCACTGCTTGCCCACGGTTTTTATTGCACTCGAGGTACACTTGCAACATATCAGTTAATTGACTGAAATCCATTTAAAAAAATTTAGCCAGCAACCACAGTAAAGTGTAATGTTGTTTCCATGGCATTCCATAAAATTTCTCACGATTTCTGTTACATTCGATGCGTAAAGAAGATTGTTTCCTTGACATGCCAGAAAATTTTGAAAAACTAGCTTCTTTAATTTTCTGTGTAAAAAATTCCAATCAAATATCAAATTCAATTAACAAAACATAATCATGCAATTTAAAATATATAAGTCAACCATAATAATAATTTAAAACATTCTAATTACGGCCGTTTTGTAGTATGTTTACAATCATGAAATATGGTTTTTGTTGCATTTAATTCGGACAAAAACTGTAGGCGCTACAGGTTGAGGCGTTTTTTAAGTTACATCCTGTATTGTATCCAGACGATCCATTTTGCCTTTGTGGATGCTCTCCTCTCAGATATCCCAATCGCCCTTTGTTGAGTACTCTCCTCCGACACTGTGCTCTTTGAATATAAGAAATTATCACCGATCACGTAAAAGGGCCGAGGAGAACCGGTTTAACCTCCCCCCCCCCTCCAACTCTGATAAAATGTGGGCGAAAAGGGCGGTAGTTGATAGGGAACAGTTCCTTTCATTGAGACCTTTCATCAGATTACCATGAAAGGTAAAAACATTTCCGCCCTCCGCCCCTCCGTCTTTCCACGTCACTCTCTTATCTCTAAAAGCAGTCGCGGAGGAAAGTGGTAGAAACCAATCCCTTTCGATGACACCTTTCATTAGACCATGAACGGTAAAAAGTGTGATTACCCCACCTCCCATTTTGAAAATTTTATTTGCCAGGCGCATACCAAATCTGACACAAAAAGACGCAAATGAATATGATGCACCTTTTACTTCCAAACAGCATCTCGAAAAACAATTCATGGGGGGAGGAGGCTTAAAACAACAAAATTTGAAGACTCTGCAAAAAATTCAGCGCAATTACCTAAAATGAGTTCAATACCGCGGAAGGGGATCCGGACAGAAAAACGTACAAAACGCAAACAATAGCGCACTTTTTTAAATAAAAAAAGCATACTAAAAATTTACAGAGCATTCCGTAAAAATACTAATTTGTTGAATGTTTTAATAAACCTATGCGCAACTACTCTTCTAATTTAATTATTCTAATTTTGTCATAGTCACTATGCAGATAATTTTGACCTGTAAAAGGTGGCGTAAAAGATTTTATTGTTTTAAATAGCCCAGAACAAGAGAGGGATAACAAATAAATAAATAAATAAATTTGGCTCCAAATAACATGTATTTGGAAAGTGCACACCATTTTATTCCCGGCACAACTTTTGGCAGCCAAAAAACCTCAAAATGTTTGGAATTTTTTCAGTTTTTCGCTTAAACCTCGAAAACGGTCCATATTTAATGAATAACACTTATTTAGTGAATTAAAGAAATTAAAGAAATTCGGCGGTGATCAAAAGATGAACAAACAAAATCGGTCCAATAGAAAAAATTTTACAAGCGATCAAAGAACACCGATTTTTTCCAAGCTTTCTAAAAAAACTTAGTGCGTTGTGGCTCCTTGCTTGTTTGCTTGTTCATTTTTTTCACTGTTGATCGACGCAGAATTGTGTTTTCTTTAATATACTTACTAAAGAAGTGTTATCCATATAAAGTATAGACCGTTTTCGAGTTTTAAGCGAAAAACTGAAAAAAATACGAACATTTTGAAGTTTTTTGGCTGTCAAAAGTTGTGCCAGGAGAAAATGGGTGTGTACTGTTCAAATACATGTTATTTGGACCCAAATGGACCATTTAAAACGATAAAATCGTTTACACCACCTTTTGCAGGAATCGCCCCTTCTGAATGCTCGGGCCGTAGCCAGATTAGTTACTAAGAGCGGGCAGGAAAAATATTAATAATTTGCTGTGTTCTGCCGAAGGAATTCGTTTTTAGCGCAATCCACGAAAGTGGTGCGCTTATGACTTCACATTTCCGTCCGTCTGCGTGTCGTTCCGTACTATAGCTCAGTGGCTAAACCTCGTATTGACTATCAAAAATGAACTTTGGCATTCATCACGTGTTATAGCCCTAAATTGGTCAAAATTATTATTTATGCACCAATTTTGTTGAGAAAACGATCAAGCTCGATTGCTCGATGACCAAGAAATGATACATTTCTATTTTTGGCGACCAAAATATTTTTATCTAAAGGATGTCAAAATTGTTATTTATGCATCGATTCTCTTGGGAAATTCAATTGCGCAATGCCCAAGAAGTGGTCCATGTGTTTTTTTTGTTCACAAAAAATGTCAAAGTCGTTATTTATGTACCGATTTTCTTGGGAAGAAGAACTCGTCGACTTCTAGTTTTCATCAATACAGATAAATAACCGTATGAAACTTGGTCACTAAGTAAGGAATTTTACTATTACAAACATTAGTTACGGGGGTGTCGAGCTAAATATAGCCCAGGGCGTTAAAAACATAGCCCGGGGATATATTTGCCCGGGGTCTGACTGTTACACAGATTATTGAGAATGAAGTAAACATGGGATGCGTTCTTTACCTTTAATTTTACTTTACCACTGAATAAAGAATCTGAACTTTATTCAATAGCTGGCATAATAATAATAATAAATTAATTATTTTAGCACCTGAGTAAGTCTAAGTAGCGTTTTTTCATGTTAGGAACAGTTTTGGTTTATACGAGTACAAATTTTAATATCGTTGATTAGTTCGATTAGTTGATTGATTAGCAAAGGCGAGCGGGAAGCAAATATATTTTGCTTGGTCTAACAAAAAAGTGTAGTACAATTTTTTAAATAATGCAATCAACCAAATGCGCTTCATAACATGACAATCGTTATCATTAGGTATATAAAAAATAATCGCGTACAAGAACCTGCAAAACAAGCGTGTCGCTAAAAAATCATTTCAAAATACAGATCCATAATGATATTTGTCCCTTTGATAGTTTATAAATTCGAATTTCGAGGATAAATTACCACTGCATGAGTGTTCAAATATGCTCATTCGTGTAGACTGTAGACGGCGAGTTGAATTTCATTTTTACAACCGGTATAAAGAGGTATAATTTGCTATCAGCATTCGAGTGCAGCTATCAGCTTTCAAGATAAATTTAATCAATGTTATCTTTTATGAAGCGCCAAAAGCGGCATCTAGTTTTGTATAACCATGGTATAACCCAAATATTTAACATTTTACTTCGCAACTGCCATCTGTATATGTATAGTACAATTTTAATGTTTAGGGTAATTTTCCACGCTTAGCAAGAGAACACGAGGGATCGGGACGCGGGTCTTAATAAAGATACCGCGACCACGGGAGTTTTAACGTCCTGCTATTTCGAGACCTTTGACCTCTTTAAAAACCCGTACATGTATTGAAGTATTAGCAACCTATCAAAAAAAAAACTTAATTCAAGTACAGTTCAAAATTGACGAAAGAAATCCTCAATCTGACTTACCCGGGTCGACTGATAATGCCCCCCACACAATACACATGATGCCCTGAAAACAAGTCGGTATCGCCGCCACTGAAAAAAAATTCATTCGACTTCAACCATACACTTCTCGTCACACCGGCAAAAATTCAATAAACATACTTTAGGCATGTGTGCACGAATTTAATTGGAAAAAGTGAAGAGGCTTTAGAAATTCTAAAATATTCGCGTAATCATAAAGAATTGACAGCTTTCGCTTTTTCATTTCAGTAGGTACTTCATGTGTGACATTTGGGTCTCACTTTTGTATCGGTATAACTTGCCGACATTATTATTAAACCAGAAACGCCTTGTGCATAGATACGAAATTTCCGCCGCAAGTTAATCGGAAACGCATTGAAATTTGTATCTTTCCGATACTTTCGAGAGGTATATTTTGGTTGATTTCCGAAGTCCCTTTTTAGTGGCGAACTTTACAGGAAACTTGATTTTAGTTATTAGATAGGTCAGAATTGAAATACACGTTATATAATGAGATATAAAAGAGGTGTGACATGAAAAATGGTAGGTTTTGTCATAAAACGCTAGTTATGTACTGAGATTGTAGGTAAATGGGCACAGTTGGGGTATCTGCACCTTTTCACAAACAACTTAAAAATACATGCTGCAGTGCCTATGTCAATAAATTTGAGTGCTTTTAAATTGGTCACCAAGCAGTTATTTAATATCTTCTGATGCTACAAATTCAGTCAGCACGTCCTTCTGTTGGTCTCTCAGCTCAATATATTATTGCGCACCTTGCGGTTTTTGTTTTGTTTTCAAACGCCCCCTATGGAAGTGTGCCACATAGCATGAATAATGTGATAAATTAAACTATCAATGTGGATCAGTTTAAATTTTCGACTTTTTTAATTTTTCAATGCAATGCCAGTTAATGAAACTGGGAGTGATGGAGATTGGCTGTGAGGACTATAAATTCATTAATAACGTAAAGCCTGTCCGACAGATAAAAGTTTTCCCTTTATCTTTAATTATTCATCGGACAGTACGTCGAAGATGATTAAACGTTAATGCGAATTTTGATCAAGTTTCAAACTAAAATTAGTTTGCTAATAATTGATGTTTTCTTGGTTGCTAATAATCGACCTGACCGCATGCACTGAAGAAGCTATCAGTTCAGTTATCCGCGTTTATATAAATATCACGTAGGGATTAATCTTCATCGTTAACATAAGCATGATCATGATACGACGAGTATAAATTGGTTTCACGTACCTTAATGAATTAATAATTATTGAAGTGACACAAAAGAATGGAGGTGCATTGGTTTCTTGCTGTGTATTTACTTTATTTGGTGCACGTTTCAAGAGGAGGTAGATATCATTTGGTTCCCTAAACATTTGACATAAATTATTTTTAGCCGAGTGTCCAGAAAATGAAGAATTGGATAACTGTAAGAGCCCCTGCGAACGCACCTGCCAAAATCCAAATCCACCCCCGTGCTACTTCTTCGCCTGCAATATCGGTTGTGTATGTAAACTTGGTTTTATTCGCGATGAGGCCACACAAAAATGTGTAAAACAACATTTATGTCCTGTGGGTAAGTGAAAGATAGTTGAAATTGCGTCAGCAACAAAGTTTGTGCCACAAATCAAAACAGGATGTTGAAATAGTGTATATGTGTATGGTTAAGAAAAAAAAACATGCATAAAAAAATACATGCATCGCAATCTTGTATAAACTTTGCATCATTTTGATGTAGCACATGATCCTGTAGCTCAAAATTTGAGGGGTGGGGGAAATCTCTTTAAGGAATTGAATGTAACTTCGGTTTACGTTGACTGATTTTCACGTAATTGGTTTTATTGCAAAAAGCTCTCTTCGTGTAATCAGATTTTAGTGCGCGCGATGTGACATTAACATAAACTTTGCGTTTTTCTTGAAAATTTTAAATGGAAAGATATAATTATTATATGATATACATATATCAAACAAAATGAAAAAGTGAAAATATCAGTGAAAACCGAATTTTGATATCCGTTTCCTAGGCAGAGATATGGCGAAAAAACACAAATTTATGTTAGCCATAATTATTGCTTTCCTTATTATTTAATTTGTATTTCCCTGATTTAAAATTTAAATAGTTTAGGTATTTGTTGGTCATAATTTAAAAACTTAGGTATATAACGGGCGATCAAAAAGAGTTGTTGTCGAGTCGCCTTTGGAAGTTCAAGTTAAGTACAATTTTCCATGTAAACAAAAATTCCAAACGTGACTCGACAGCAACTCATTTTTGATCGTATAGTATTGAGCCTGGTATTGAGTGATAATTTTAATTGTCGATTGTTATGTGTTCTTTTGTTTCAAAGTCAACTTGGATTAATATAGCTATTGCAATTTGTGAATATGCGATTTTCGCCATATCTTAGAAATAATGGTTATATGGAAATATGCTTAGAAAACAGATATAAATATGCGGTTTTCACTGATATTTTCACTTTTTCATTTTGTTTGATAATATCATACAGAGTGGCCCAACGAGAAGTATACAGAGGGCTTTTAGGGTATTAAATTTAGAAATTTCGAAAAATCCTCGAACACGTTAATTTTGTATTCGAGGGGGACAACTTTTGGAACACAAATCACGAACCCAAGTCTTCACCCCTCTACGTAGGGAGCTTAACCCCTAAAATTTTAAATGAAATCCTATGGCAAATGGCACATTATTTGAAAGCCAATTTAATCTTGAGTACTAATCTGCTTTGCTTTTTAAATTCTATTGATTCGTTTGGAAGATATTCGCATTTGAAATAATAATAATAATAATAATAATGTTTATTTCCAATGAACATCATATAGAACAAAAGGAAAAAGAAAAAGTACATTCAGATTGGAAAAAGGACCACATTCAGTGCGCTATACACTGCTCTTCCATGTGGCCCTACATCATGAGATATGAACTTGAACTAAACATGGTATATGGACAAATACATTAACACTCACACGCAAATCAAAATAGTTTTTTCTAAACCAAAACAAATGCGATCTAAGTCACCTTGTATTAAAATTTTATTTTGACGCTTCAATTTGTTTGTTAAACTTAAGTGAACCTGTCAGTTCTCCGAAATGAATCAATATTAGAATTTAAAAAGCAAAGCAGATTAGTAATCACGATTAAATTGGCTTTCAAATAATGTGCCATTTGCCATAGGATCCCATTTAAAATTTTAGGGGTTAAAAAATTGACGTGTTCGAGGATTTTTCGAAATTTCTAAATTTAATACCCTAAAAGCCCTCTGTATACTTCTCGTTGGGTCACTCTGTATAATAATTATATCGTTCCATTTGAAATTTTCAAGAAATCCTGCAAAGTTTGTGTTGATGTCACATCGCGCCTTCTACCACTCACCACACTTACTAAAAAACTCTATTCATGTAAAATCTGATTACACGAAGAGAGCTCTTTCCAATAAAGCCAATTACGTGAAAATCAGTCGACCTAAAGAGAAGTTACATTCAATCTCTTAAAGAGATGTTCCTCTTCCCCCGCCGTTCATATTTTTTTAGCTAGTGCAACATGTGCTGCATCAAAATGGTGCCATATTTGGAGGAAAAGTATAACTATTCATGGCCTGCCTTCTATTAGCCGCTTGACTTCGTTCGGCGGCTAAACACAGGCGTGCCATGAAAAGTAATACCTACTTCTCCGCCGTTTCGGAAAGTCATTTTTCGACAAATATTTCTAAGGATACGCCCAGAATATTTAATTTTCAAGAATCCTAGGAAGATTTCGAAAATAATCCTAAAGTCTCTAAAAATTCTATAAGTCACTGTAAGACTATCTCTAAGATGAGGGTTAAATTGAGCATTTTTAAACTTTTCTACAATATGACTAAAGTGAATGTATGATGAATGGAAGAGATGCAAGGGAGGAAGAATGAAATCTCCAAATAAAACCCATTCCAATGGAATGAAATCAATGTTCAATCTTGAATAGGCTTGTATCTACTAAGTCAGTAGCTCAGTATTATAAAACTTTAACACGAGATGCATTCATCCCTCAGTTACCCTCTTCTTTAACAATAATATGACTCTTCTTAGTTAAGCCCCTTGTTTGCGCATAATTAATTGAATTCTAAAGTTACCTCGAACTTGCATGGAAAATGTAGTGTCAAAACCTGACATTTATTTTTCTATCCTATTTCCAAGACAACCCTAAACATGAAATACACGCTAAAATAATTGACCGCCCCGTTACCGAACCGTGACGTGACCGATAATGCGATTCGGCCTTTAAAACTAACAAGAACGTCTTTGGTGTAATGTGCATGATATTACATCTCTTCAAGTTTCAAGTATCTTTCACACGTTGATTGGAACTCGGACTTTTACCGTTGTTCCTGATCGCGTCACGTATGGTCCCCCACACGCCGTAGTCGATTGAGAGAAGAACGTTCCTTCCTCTTTCTCTCTCTGAGGTATTTATACCGATGCTATCTGCTCCATACTCACTGCTGGCGACTTCATCCTCGAATATCGTTGTCAATGCGGGAGTTGGAATTAGAATCAAATGAAATCGGTTACGGCGAAGATTTCTGCTTGTCGCGTCTCGAATTCTCGATTTGGAGCAACTTTGGGAGATCAGGAGTTACCACCGATTATTGGTACTAATGTCCAAATTCGTCGTCCGTTCAGTAGCTTAGAAGGTGATAAGCCGTCTGCAAGGGGGGTCGCTCTGAATCGGCAGCGCCTCAAAACCATCATCCGCCTTATTCAAACTGCTTGTCATTATTTTGCCGGCCGATATCAAGAATCCGTTACTCTCAGGAGAAGGAGGGCTTCTCGTGATATGAATAAAACGTCGCTCCTCGGCAAAAGCCGCAAAAGCAGAGCCGAGTAGTGAGCCGAAATGTGTGCCGTTGTCGGTGCATACAACTTCCGGCTCGCTCTATTCCGAAGATAATGATTTTAAATATTTCATTGATATCATCTCTTGTAGTGTTTCGATCGGATAGATAATGGAATTGGTAGAAATCCATCGCGACTCGTCAGTTCGATTGCACCGTTTGTACACTGAACACAGTCACCTTTTACTGGCACTGCAAACTAAAAGTCCTTCGCATTTCAGAATGCAAAAAAGACGAAAAAGAAAATGTTCAAAACACATGCGAGCCCACTTGCCCCTCGATTGCTCACGCTCGACCATTCGTCGTACAAATCAAAAAATGCATCTGTAAAGACGGACTGGTGAGACACAAAAACGGAACCTGCATTCCTTTGAAACAATGCGACAAATGTAAGTACGCAACATTTTTCGAACCACCATCTCACTTTTGGCATGCCACCAGTATGCGGGAAAAACGAGGAGTTATCGAACTGCGCAAATCCGGCGTGTCGAAAAACCTGCCAAAATCGCGGCGAGACAAAAGTTTGTGCGCAAATTTGCCAGAAGGGCTGTGTTTGTAAAGATGGATACATATGGGATGAAGATCGCGCAGAATGCGTACTGGAAAGTGAATGTCCGGAAGGTGCGTTTGATCGGTCCTGATGGTTTTAATTTAAATTTTGTTTTCAGAATGTGGCGAAAATGAAGTTTTTATGGTGTGCAGTGATATTTTGTGTAGAACCACGTGTAAAAATTTTGGGAAGACTGTTATATGTCCTAAGATTTGTGTACCTGGTTGCTCTTGTAAACCGGGATTTATTTGGGACGAATTACAGAGGAAGTGTGTTAGAAGAAGTCATTGCCTGAAAGGTAAAGGTTTCCACGTTTTCTCACGGTTCGAATATGATTACTTTTAGGCTGTGGAGTTAATGAGGTCTGGTCGGACTGTGTGAATGCTTGCGCGCCAACCTGCCAAAATCCCATTCCAAGGATTTGTACTTTGGAATGTAGAAGTGGTTGTACTTGTCGTGATGGATATTTGTGGGATGAGTATGCTCAGCGATGTGTCAAAAGATATCATTGCTCGCAAGGTGGGTTTTTCTACACAAAGGATTAAGTGTAACGCATTTTGTTTTAGTTTGTGATGAAAATCAAGAGTGGTGCGACCACGTAGCGGATGACCTACCTACGTGCCAAAGTCTTTATAGACCGCTGTTACCATATCGATATGCGCCACGCTTTGTACCACTGAGGCCAGGTTGCACCTGTACATCCGGATACATAATGGACGAAAAAACACGCAAATGTATTTCTTTGGATGACTGCCTCAACGGAAAACATACGACAACAACTGAAAGATATACTTCACCTTCCAAGACTCATCGCCCAGTGACCAAAAAAATTAGTACCACTCAAACTGCCATTACACACACCGAAATGGCGCACCCAAACCAAACTGTGCACTACCCCAAAACAAAGCATACTTCCACGTCGACAGAAAAGGCACATCCAACCCAAACTCAAACTGCGATCCACCCTAATACACAACATGATTCCACTTCGATTTTAGAATCAGCCCTGACAACAAAACATGTGCAGACACAGTAGACGATTTTCAATCCTTTGCAGAAAACAAGCCTGCGGATGCTTCCAATTAGCATTCACATTTAAACCAGGGTTTTCATTTTGGATTTATGTTAAGATAAGCAGTACACCTATTGTACATAGGAAAATAATGGATCAAAGAGTCGTCAACTTTTTAATTAAAAATATGTATTGTCATAAAGTAGCAGGAAATTTAATTAAAACAGATTTCGTTTTTAAAATCATAAAATATTTTTAGACTGTCACATTCATAGGTAACATAACCTTTGTGTTTACACAAGTTAGTCTTCGTGATCAAAAATTAATAACTAAATATTAAAACCCAATTGCATCGTATTATTCACAGAATTCCATCAGTCCGCGACCTGTGTGGATGTTTTTGTGAAAACGGTGTCCTATCAGTATCGACATGCTTTTATAACACTGGCATTTTAAAGCGCTTCTAAGATTCATTAAGCCCCAGTTGCAACAACAAAATTAAGCCTTGCTTAAAGTTAAGTCGAACTTAAAATCTATGGCGACGATTATTAAGAAAATCGTTACTACGGTATTTAAGTTATGCTTAACTTTAAGGGACACATTTTGACGGTGCAATTGGCCCTTAATAAGTACAAATTTTGTGTTCCAATGGTTACGGTAATCTCCTTTTTTTAAAATTCAATTCCACATTCACGAAAAAATTGCATAGACAAAAATGCGTCTTGGTCTGCTTTGTGCCAATCTGGGTTCGCTGTTGGAAATATTGTGTTTAATAGTGAGATAGGGTTGATAGCGTAACGCCAGTTTACAATGGATACCCCTAATGAAACTTGTAATACGAATGTGGCCGCAATGCGTGTGCTTAATTCACATGGACTGCCCCCTTTGTCTAGATATGGTGAGCCCGTAGTGGAATATTTCTTTCCCCCTCATCAACCTACTTGTCATACCACAACCACCCCTTACGTTGACTCCACCAGAGTTACGAAGGTCCCTCCATTATATCCCTGCGGTAAGTTTATAGTTTTCCGCTCCTATACGGGGCAAAATTTTGAAACAAACTGTCATACTAAATTAAAGACCAAAAACTGGAAATAGTTATTTGTACAACTAGAGAAGAAAGTGGAATTTTTCAACTCGGGTTAAAAACATTTTCTTCTCAAGTTTACATATATTTTTTTCTGAAACTACAATCAAAATTGAAAAATTATCGTACGCAATAATGAAGTTTGAGACATCGCAATCTAGATACGAGTATGTTTCAATTTTAAATGTCATTATTAAAGATTAACGCAGCAATTATTTTTTACTTTCCTCACTAGAGACGAAAATCCTCGGGAAAATCACATTTTCTTCACCCTTTTTAGACGAACATAGTTGTTTCTAAAGTAATTTTAGGAAAAATATGTTCTCTTTCTGCAGTGGACTACAATAGGCAACGTCCTTTAACAATGTGCCCATTTAAAAATCTGAAAAATAGGTTTCCGCTCAGTGACCCCTTAAGCATTTCTAAGACATGTTTTAGAAAATCTCCAGAAATTCATGGTAGATTGAAAGGTTTCTTTATAGTATATTCGACTAGGTGCATTTCAAACACCTTCTGCAACCCTCATGAATAATTCGCTCCTCTTGAGAGTTAGAAAACTTAAAGATTCCATGTAGGTGAAATGTTTATTGATTCTTGAAACCGTTGTTTCAAAGAGATCGGATATGTCACAGGTATGATACAAGAAAAAACGTTGCACTCTATAATTTCCCGTTACATAAATTATCGTATTCGGAGAAAGGTTGTCAGTATTCATTCATAAAGTGCTTCTCCAATACAGGAACATTGCGGTGGACTAATGATGAAAATGATGAAGATGTGTTTTTTTGTTCATAATTTCATGATGATTTTTGTAATAACTTCTATTGATGAACTTGGAACGGCAAAAATTTTCCGCATTTTCAAACTGTCACACACCCTTAATACGGCAAATAGCTCCTAGCGTATAAAAATGAATAGGTCCACGGCTGGAGACTTTTGGTCATTGCTAATGGTCAACCCTACAACTGAAAACAACAATCCGTTGAGCACTATTTATTTCCGAATTGAGGGATTTTTTGGTCTGGCGTATTGTATGAAAGTGAGTGAAGGTTATTGCTAGAAGTACATTCTCTCGCTCTTTGGCCTTTTGGAACTGTTTCAAATTCATTTCACCAAACATCTTTCATATAATTTCATATATGCCTTGACAATGGCCATCAAAATTATATGGCCAAGATATATAAATGTAAACAAAAAACGGAAGGAGTAAACAAATTTGGTAAAGGACAAATAGAACTTTATCATTTTTTGCGACTTGAGAATATACTGTTATCAAAAATTATATTAATATTAGTATTAATATTTAAATTTTGATAACCATACTTTTTCAAATTATGCATTACATTCTGAATTAAATGTGGAATTTTTATTTTCTTTTTATAAATATCTGCTTTTGTTGTTGAATTTTGCTCTTCGTCTTGAGTTTCACAATTAATGCACACCACAATCTGAAAAGTTCACATAAGTCTCAGAATCTAAAACCGAAAACCATATTTAGTTGAGAAGAAAACAAATATTTACAAAGTACAAGCAAATTTAACCACAACGCGTAACAAAGTTACTTACGTCAGACAGTTGACGAGGTATATAAATGTTCATATCAGCTGTTACAATATTCAGAAAGTACAGAAATGATCACCGCAAAGATCATCGTGTTGCTTATCGCAGTTTCTGATATTACAGTACGATCAGATGATGCTGATGATGGCCATGAAGGTAAGTCAGTTCATGTAACAAGGAACTTTAAGTAAACATTGCAATTACTTTCAGAGTATGAATGCATAGAAATCAATGAGATCTTCACCAACTGTTCAACTTCATGTCCCCAAACATGCGAAGATAGGGTAACAACATGTGATTATGTGTGCAAAACCGGATGTGTCTGTAAGCCAGACTACATACGAGAGGAGATTGGGGGTAAATGCATTCTTATACGGGATTGCAAGAACGGTAATTGAAAATGCTTTTCACATTGTGCACTCAATAGGATCATGAATTAACAACCATTTCTAACGTCGTTACAATGATTCCGATTGTTTTGCGGTAAGTGTTTAGAAGACCAAACCAAATTCTAATAAAGCTCTCAAAACGAATCCCTGTGAAATGTTAGAAGAGACCACCAAAAGTTTTTTTTCAAATAAACCGAGTTTTAATTTGTGGCCCCTTTTTTGTATCTCGGTGAAATTTCTTATCTGGATAGTTTTGAACATTAAAAAAAAAATATTAAAATCGTTGGCCAGACAACGAAAATGGTCAGAATTTCATGAAATTTTCATATCGAATAGTCCACTTTCTTTATGGAATCGCTTTAGTGAAGTTGAAAAAAATGCCCTCCGACAGTTTTTTTTAGTATAACCAAAGAATTAATTTAATCATTTATTTTCCAATCTAAAGTACTAGGTACCAATAATTATAAAGTTAGTGGAATCCTTTTTCTTATGCGTATTCTTATACACGGTGTTTTTTTTAAGAATTTGCATTGCATTAATTGTTTCAGTCATAGCTTCCTCGCGAAACATCTGCCACAGTACTGTAGACATTGTTTCTAAATCAACAAATTTATTCAAATCAGATATAAACGTATAAGATTACAATCGGTACTCGAATTGTTTTCCACCGGTAACCAAACAATACCCGGTACTCGGCATTGAATACCTCGCATTACCACTCAGCTACTGTGTCCACTCTTGTACAAATTGTACTACATGAACACCTTTTCGAGTGGCGGAATACAATGTTGCTGCTTCGTTGATGCAGTTTGAAGAAATCAGATCGAGAACTGTCAGTGAAATAACTAAACGCAAGGCCAAGATTTGAGAACAATTGGCGCAATGTAAATTTCCCTATGGCCCATTATAAATAACTCAACGCCTTTACATTGTCTGTTGTCACACACCTACGGTTATGATGTATGCTAGGTGTGTACTTTCTATGGCCCATCTTTAAAAAAACACCCTGTATGAGAATATCGACACAACACAGTTTTTCTACTAATTTGAAAAACTGTTAACGCACTTTATGCCTATGCTTAAACGGGCGGAGTAATTTCGTAATTTTTTTTGTAGGAAGGTTGGAGCACAATATTCTGGTTGTTTTGAATTGTACAGGCCCTATAAGAAAGTTTTTTCTCGCTCGATTTCGGACGTCATTTCTTGTAAATTTTGGCCTGTAGAATCCATAACACAAAATTTCATGATTAGAACATTTACCCTTGAATATAGTGATGATAATGAAGCCTATAAATTTGGATGTAGTGGTCCAATCTTGAATCTTCAATGTGTTCATCCCAGCGCAAATTATAATCTAATATCACTCCCAGGTAGTAGTCGATCTTGAGCCGATAATGTCATTACTGCCAACCTTTAGGGTAAAGATATGTCTCCGTTTTCGGTGGTTTTCATATTCATAATAATGGTATTATCTGAATTGATGTGCAACTTGTTATTGTTACGCCATTCTAATAATTCTTGCATCACAAGCCTTAATTTTTTAATTTTTCTTGCGCATGATTGTAGTTCTTGGCGTTAACAACAGTAGCCGTGTCATCGGCGTACATGAAGGTTACTCCACTTTTAATATACCTAGACAAGTCGTTAATAAATAAAAAGAAAACGATCGGCCTTAGATTGCTGCCTTGGGGTGTTATAATATTAAGCCTATATTCATTGGATACCGTGTTATTGAATTTAACAACAGACTTCCGATTTGATAAGAAAGAAAGTAGAAGATTAAAAATAGGATTTCGATACCGAATTGTTTCAATTTTTCTGATAATAAATATAGATAAATGCAGTTGAATGCTTTTCTGATATCGAAGTATACCACAACGCATTATTTTTTTGGCCTGATTTATTGTTAATATGTTGTATTAGCTGTATTGTGGCTAATCCGATTGACGATCCTGATCAAAACCCATACTGTTTGTTATATATGATATCATATATTATTTCTAGGAATGTAGTTAATCTGTTACAGATGCATTTTTCAAATATTTTGCTCTAAGTAACGAGATTACTCTACAGTTTGACATCTGTTTCTTATCCCCTTTTATCTCCACATTGGAGGGTCCGCCATGTATGTAATGTAATGTACGATCACAAATTTACAATAATTTTTAATTACCACCCCAGAGCCGACCAACACCACCCCAGTGCCGACCACTACCACCCCAGCATCGACCACTACCACCGCAATACCGACCACTACCACCCCAACACTGACTCCTGTCACACATCTCACATCCACAGAGTTGTGTCTCACCCATTCAACCACCCCAGTGCCAACTACTACTACCACCCCAGTGCCCACTACTACCACTCCAGCACCGACCACTACCACGCCAGTGCCTACTACTACCACTCCTGTGCCCACTACTACCACCCTAGCTCTAACCACTACCACTCCAGGGCCAACTACCACCACCCCAGTACCGATCACTACTACCCCAGTGCCCACTACTACCACCGCAGTACCGACCACTACCACCCCAGTGCCTACTACTACCACTCCTGTGCCCACTACTACCACCCCAGCTCTAACCACTACCAACTCCAGGGCCAACTAACCCACCAACCCAGTTACAGATCACCTACTACCCCAGTGCCCCACTAAACTACCACCGAAGTACGCATGACCACTAAACGCACGCCCCAGTGCCTACTACTACCGACTCCTGTGCCGCACTACTACCAAACCCCAGCTCTTAACCACTACCACGCCAGTGCCGACTAACCACAACCACTCCTGTGGCCAACTAACCAACCACCCAGTAACCGACCCTCACCCAGTAGCCGACTACTACTACCCAGTGCCCACTTTATCTGACCACCGCAGTATCCGAGTACTGCCAACGTCCAGTGCCGACTAACTAAAACCACTCGCTCGTGTCCAATTACCACCCACTGCCAGTACCGACCACTAACGCAACCCCAGTGCCGACCACTCCCCAAACAGTACCGACCACTTACCACCCCAGTGCCGACCACTACCACCCCAGTACCGACCAACTACCACTCCAAGTGCCGACTACCCCAATCCTGTGCCAACTTACTACCACCACCCAGTACCGACCAACTACCAACCCCAGTGCCGGGACTACTACTACCAACCCATCCAGTGCCCACTAACTACCACTCAGCACCGAACCACTAACCACGCCAGTGCCTACTACTACCACCTCCTGTGCCCCTACTACCAACCCTAGCCTCTAACTCACTAAACACTCCAGGGCCAACTAACGACCACCCCAGTACCGAATCAACTACCTACCCGAGTGCCCACTACTAACCAGTCACCCGCAGTACCGACCACCTACACCCTTCGCAGCTGCCTATGCTTACTGTAGCACCAACTCCTGTTGCCCACTACTCAACAATCCACGCATGCGTCTAACCACTACCACTCCAGGGCCAACTAACCAACCACCCCACGTACCGGATCCTAAACTACACCAAAGTGCCACTACTAACCACCCGGCAAGTTCCGACCAACGTACCGACCCAGTGCCTACTACTAACCACTCTGTGCCCACTACTACCACCTCCAGTACCTGACCACTACCCGACGGCCAGTGCCGGACTACCACCACTCGTGCCAACCTATTTCTAACCAGCCAAGTACCGGACCACTAACCACCCCAGTGGCAGGACTACTCTACCACCGCCGGTGCCCACTCTACCACTCCCAAAGCACCAGACACACTACCACTCCTGTGCCCACTACTACCACCCCAGCTCTAACCACTACCACGCCAGTGCCGACTACCACCACTCCTGTGCCAACTACCACCACCCCAGTACCGACCACTACCACCCCAGTGCCTACTACTACCACTCCTGTGCCAACTACTACCAGCCCAGTACCGACCACTACCACCCCAGTGCCGACTACTACTACCACCCCGGTGCCCACTACTACCACTCCAGCACCGACCACTACCACGCCAGTGCCTACTACTACCACTCCTGTGCCCACTACTACCACCCTAGCTCTAACCACTACCACTCCAGGGCCAACTACCACCACCCCAGTACCGATCACTACTACCACCACCCCAGTACCGATCACTACTACCCCAGTGCCCACTACTACCACCGCAGTACCGACCACTACCACCCCAGTGCCTACTACTACCACTCCTGTGCCCACTACTACCACCCCAGCTCTAACCACTACCACTCCAGGGCCAACTACCACCACCCCAGTACCGATCACTACTACCCCAGTGCCCACTACTACCACCGCAGTACCGACCACTACCACCCCAGTGCCTACTACTACCACTCCTGTGCCCACTACTACCACCCCAGCTCTAACCACTACCACTCCAGGGCCAACTACCACCACCCCAGTACCGATCACTACTACCCCAGTGCCCACTACTACCACCGCAGTACCGACCACTACCACCCCAGTGCCTACTACTACCACTCCTGTGCCCACTACTACCACCCCAGCTCTAACCACTACCACTCCAGGGCCAACTACCACCACCCTAGTACCGATCACTACTACCCCAGTGCCCACTACTACCACCGCAGTACCGACCACTACCACGCCAGTGCCTACTACTACCACTCCTGTGCCCACTACTACCACCCCAGCTCTAACCACTACCACTCCAGGGCCAACTACCACCACCCCAGTACCGACCACTACCACCCCTGTGCCAACTACCACCACCCCAGTACCGACCACTACAACACAAATGCCAAAAGGTACGAATATAAAGGGTGCAATAGGAGTCGTAGCTAACTATGTATTACAGTGTGCGGGTACAACCAAGTCTGGGAACAGTGCAGTGACAAATTCTGCAGAAGAACATGCGAAAATATCAACGGTCCAGTCGCTTGTCTTGATCTTTGCCTTGAGGGTTGTTCGTGTATGCACGGCTTTGTTTGGAACCACGACCAGACCGAATGTATTCCAGTTGAAGAATGCTCCATTGGTAATAACAGCTACTGTTTCGTCTGAACAAAAATAAGCGGATTATTTGCAGAATGCGGGCTTAACCAACACTGGTCCCAATGCAGCGACATTCAATGCAGACGAACATGTGCTAACTTCGGACAAGACGTTCCGTGTCCACAACTGTGTATGCCTGGGTGTACTTGCGATTCGGGTTACGTATGGAACAGCAACGAAACGGAATGTATTCAAGCTTGCGATTGTGGAAAAGGTTTGTTTGTGACACTACTTTTATACTTCTTACATAACACGTCATGCTTTAGACGTTTGCCATGAAAACGAAGAATGGGGTAAGTGTGCAAATCCCGAATGCAAGAGGACTTGCCAGGACACAAACGAAAAAGCGTGCTCGGATTGTTTCCCTGGATGTGTGTGTCGTCCGGGATATATTTGGGATGAAATTCTACAGGAATGCGTCCCAGAAAATTACTGCTCAGGTTACAGTCTTAAAAAATTAAGTAGTAACTAATGTGTGCATTTTTCAGGATGTGGTATAAACGCAATTATGTCTTCCTGTACGAGCGGCTGTGAACCAACGTGTCAAGGGCTGAGCCCTTTCCCTTGTCCAGCTGTTTGCATCCCTGGATGCACTTGTTTGCCAGGGTATCTAATGGACCACCATCAAGGCCATTGCGTTCTACCATCGGAGTGCTCTTCAGGTAAATTTTTGGAAATGATTTGTCGTTAGCTTGAATACGTCTTCTAGTGTGTCCAAGGAGGAAAACGTGGTGTAGACATCTTCCATCCAACAGAGTCACCTGCCAAAATATTTTATACCCCCAGTGTGCCCATCAAAGTCATGCAAATCAAACTTCGTATCCTGGTTGTGTTTGTAAGGAGGGATTAATATTAAACGAACTTACGAACGAATGCATTACACCGAAGCATTGCTTGAGGTTATTGAGATAAACCTGTAGAATTGCCAGAGTCCAGAATATCTAGCATGAGATTAATTATAGTTTACTGTTTGTTATAGCATCAATGTTCAGTTCTTCGCAAATAAAATAATAATAACAATAAAGTAATAATTGATAAGCACTGTTAAAAAATGTACACACAGTTTGGCACAAATTGGTATGTGATACTTGCCCAGTTTGTACAATCTTTCAGGGTTATAATTTCATCAAGAATCTCGAGGTAAGTATGACGATTTCTAAAGGATTATAATAATTTTCAAAGTGCTAGCAATTCTAAAGATTGTGAAGGTTCCTAAGATTCTATTTGCGGAATGCGGGATTAATCAACATTGGTACCAATGCAGCATCTCCAAAAGTTTCGAAATTAATTTTGCTCTTTAATCAACACATTTTTGAATAGGAGTAATGTCTCCGACAATTGAGACTGGATGTCATTTTCATCTACTTAATGAGTACATACGGGCTGTATCGCTTTCAGATACATACTTAAATAATGGAGGGAGGTAAAGAATTATCTTTATCCCCAAACCTGGCAAAGATGATCACTGTACATAAATCTACAGAACACCGCCCACTTAGTTTGGTGTCTTTTCTTCTGAAGACACTTGAAAGACTGTGCGATAGATACATAAGAGATACGGCGCTAACACGATTTCCGCTGCACTTAGCCAACATGCATACTCCCTAGGAAGATCTACAGCCAGTCCCGCAATGCGTTGTAGGGCGGATTGAGAGATCGCTCAGTCCACACTGAGAGTTTTCATAAATATAGAAGGGGTTTTTAACAAAACAACCTTCGATACCTACAATAGAAATGGCTTTATGCCACCACGGCGCGGCGTACAGAAAGTCATATGAGGCTTGCTGGCAGAGTCGCTTAGAACCAGAACCAAACACTCCATAAGCGTAGCACTTCTTAACCATGTGCAAGCCTTGCCTGCACGGGCGTATTCCGAACACCCACAGCCATCACGGGAGCCCTTCTGGGTTTTCCTCCACTAGATCTCCACGTGAAAGAGCAGGCTACTCTGGCATCCTTGCGTCTGAAAAATAAGGAGTTGTTGAGGTGAGCCGGACTAAAATGCGCGGCGAATTGTAAATTGACATTCTGAATTAACTGTGCGGAAATTACTAATTTTCATTTTTTTTATTAATATCACCTGATGAATTTGGTTCTTCGTCACAATTAACGCACAGCACAATCTGAAATGTTGACAAAAGTCAAAAACAGAAAACCAATATCGATTTTCAGTAATTTTCTTAAGAAGAAATCGTGGCCCGGGTTTGGATATCGGGTCTCAAAGAAATAAATTTTCTATTTTACTGACCCGAACCAGATCCCACTGAAATAGTCCACAAAATGCTTTATCAGACAGATAAAAGTTGCAATAAAAGCCTTGAGCTTTCCATTTGATTTTTTTTTAGTTGAAACTTTGATCGTTTCATACCATGGAGCGTAATTAATTGCTAACAAATAAATTATTCTTTTAAAGCGAACCCTTAAAGCGTTATTACGTAATGGTTATAATAAAAAACACAACCTTGTACAAATAACTTACAATCCTCTCATTGCAAAACTCTTATAGAAATGTCACAAATAGTGTTATAAATAACAGAGGGTAAATATTTGTTGTGATTATGCTGAAAGCGCAAATCGTAAGTGGCACAAAGCACATAACGACATAGTGCAAATAATAACGTTACATATGTACCTATTGTTTCAGAAAGTTAGATGCCGCGCGTTCCCAGAAAACAACACAGCTACTTAGAAAAAGTTTGTTGTTCTCATGCTCTGCCAAACCTCCAAGGATCATGCGTCTAAAAAAACACAGCAAGTAACGAATGGTGACCATACCGAAAGCGATAAAAAGGATACATATTTAGTTGAAAAGAAAACAAATATTGCAAGGTATGGTAACCAACAGCAAATTTAAACACAACGAGTAGGAAGTTCGTAGTATCTTACGTCAGACGGTTGACAAGGTATATAAATGTTCATACAGGCTGTAACAAAATTCAGAAAGTGCAGAAATGACCCGCGCAAAGTACATCGTGCTACTTATCGCAGTTTCTGCTATTGCAGTACCATCAGATGGTGCTGATGATAGTAATGAAGGTAGCATTGAAGGTAACGCAGTTCATGTGACAAGGAACTTTAAGTGAACCTTAAACTACTTTCAGAGTTTGTTTGCAAGGAGAATGAGATCTTCACCGACTGTTCAACTCCATGCCCCCCAACATGCAAAGATAGAGTAACAACATGTGATTATGTGTGCAAAACCGGATGTGTCTGTAAGCCAGACTACATACGAGAGGAGATTGGGGGTAAATGCATTCCTATACGGGATTGCAAGAACGGTAATTGAAATTGCTTTTCAAATTGTGCCACTCGATAAGATCATGATTTCGAGACCATTTCATCTAACGTCGTTACAATGATTTCGATATTAATTAATTATTGTAGAATGCTCTAGAAACCAAATCTGGCAAGAATGCAGTGATACTCTATGCAAAAAGACTTGTAGTAACATAGATAGTGTGATTACGTGCCCCACACCTTGCAATCCAGGATGTTCCTGCAAGGAGGAGTACGTTTGGGATGATGAATTAACAAATTGCGTTTCTAAGTGGGAGTGTCCCGCTATAATTATACCATCCAGTATCTCCCTAGTGCCGACTACTCCTGCCCCACAGCCGCCAATCACTACCACCCCATCACCAATCACTACCACCCCACCACCAATCACTACCACCCCATCACCAATCACTACCACCCCATCACCAATCACTACCACCCCATCACCAATCACTACCACCCCATCACCAATCACTACCACTCCAGTAGCGACCACTACTACCCCAGTGGCGATTACAACCACTCCAGCGGCGATTACCACCACTCCAGCGGCAATCACTTTCAGCTACGATCTGACCACTACCACACCAGTGCCGACTACTACCACCCTAGAGCCGAATATTATCACACAAGTGCCAAAAGGTACGAATATACAAGTTTTAGGGGGAGTCGTAGCTAACTGTTAATTACAGTGTGCGGGAACAACCAAGTCTGGGAACAGTGCAGTGACAAATTCTGCAGAAGAACATGCGAAAATATCAACGGTCCAGTCGCTTGTCTTGATATTTGCCTTGAGGGTTGTTCGTGTATGCACGGCTTTATTTGGAACCAGGACGAGACCGAATGCATTCCAGTTGAAGATTGCGCCAGTGGTAATGCCAGCTACTGATCCGTTTGAACAAAAATAAACGGCTTATTTGCAGAATGCGGGCTTAATCAACACTGGTCCCAATGTAGCGACATTCAATGCAGACGAACATGTGCTAACTTCGGACAAGACGTTCCGTGTCCACAAATGTGTATGTCTGGGTGTACTTGCGATTCGGGTTACGTATGGAACAGCAACGAAACGGAATGTATTCAAGCTTGCGATTGTGGAAAAGGTTTGCTTGTGACAATACTTTTATACTTCTTACACAACACGTCATGCTTTAGACGTTTGCCTTGAAAACGAAGAATGGGGTGGATGTGCAAATCCCGAATGCAAGAGGACTTGCCAAAACACAAACGAAAAAGCGTGCTCGGATTGTTTCCCTGGATGTGTGTGTCGTGAGGGATATATTTGGGATGAAATTGCACAGAAATGCGTCCCTGAAGATCACTGCTCAGGTTGCAGTCTTGGGAAATTAAGTAGTAACTAGTGTGTGCATTTTTCAGGGTGTGGTATAAACGCAAATATGTCTTCCTGTACGAGCGGGTGCGAACCAACGTGCCAAGGGCCGAGCCCTTTCCCTTGTCCAGCTGTGTGCATCCCTGGATGCGCTTGTTTGCCAGGGTATCTAATGGATCACCATCAAGGGCATTGCGTTCTACCATCGGAGTGCTCTTCAGGTAAATTTCTCGAAATGATTTGCCGTTAGCTTAAATACGCCTTCTAGTGTGTCCGCGGAGGAAGACATGGTGTAGAGATCTACCAACAAACAGAGTCACCTGCCAAAATATTTTATACCCCCAGTGTAACTATCAAAGTAATGAAAATCAAACTTCATATCCTGGTTGTGTTTGCAAGGAGGGATTAATATTAAACGAACTTACGAACGAATGCATTACACCGAGACATTGCATGAGGTTATTGAGATAAACCTGTAGAATTGCCAAGAAGTCCAGAATATTTAGCAAAATATTAATTATAGTGTACTGTTTGTTGTATTTTGAAATATCGATTCCTAAGCAAATAAAATTTCTGCCACTTTAGCCATTCGCACACAATAATAAAATATAAGATAATGTAGGTAAATGTAAATTTTTACCAATTTCTAATGTTTAAAATAGTTTGCAGTTCAGTTCTTCGCCAATAATAATAAAGTAATAAATTAATAATTGATGAGACTGTTAAAAAGTGTACACAGTTTCGTGCAACTAACTTGTCGTTGTCAGATAGAAACAGTAAACGTCTGCACAATCTATTTTGGTTCCAATGCTTCCGCCAATTTGGTGGTAACTATGAAGATTGTAATAAAAGTTCTGATGATTTTAAAGATTGTGAGAGTTCCTGATATTCTATAGGGATATCCCCAAAGTTCCCAAACTAATTTTCCACATTTGCAACATTATCCCGTGGCGAACCTCGTCGCGAACCGGCGTTTCGAACAGTACCGCACTCTTTAATTTAGTCGAACCGAACAAATTCATTGTACTTTCATTTATTTCATAGAGCCACTGGTTTCGGAAATACTAAAGGAAAACCAAGTGACCCTTCAACCCTCACCCACCCTTACGCATAGCTGTTTAGGTGGTTAAAGCTGAGAAATTTTCAATCTTCACAATTTTTGTTCCTTAGAACATTAACTTTAGAATAATGATAGAGCAATAGTTACGCCAATCAGAAGGGATACAGGATATAATTGAACATTGAAAATAGACAATGAAAATAGTGTATATTCTTTATATAATATAAAGTCTGCATTCTTTCTTATGGGGCAACAAACTTTATAAAAACCGTGAGCGAGTTTATAAATCCCTGTGTAAATAGCGCCAAGATTTTTTGGGATTTTTCGGACACACGTCTAGTCACTGTGGTGACATACCCCTACGGTTAGGCAACTCACCCCTACATGAGAAAGAATAGCAATGGGGAAAATATCCTAAACGCTATGTATGTAAAGAAATCGTTTTGCGCAGATGCCGAAGAAACAAGGGTTTTTTCACGTTGGCATCGGTAACGGGATCTTCTGCTGGCATCCCCCTTTTAGTGTGTGCGTAATTTTATTTGTTCTTGTCTTTTCTTACACACAAAACTTTTATCAAAAGTATTATTCGATGCTCTTCCCTATTATTCCTCACGTCCAACACTAAAAAGTACCACCACTAATACACAACGTGGGAGTTTGTAAGTGCTATCCAGTCTGAGTCGACTGCTAACGAGACGTCCGTAGTTTCGAATTGAGTTAGATTGCTCTCCCCAGAGTTGCCAACTGTAAGTTTTAAAATCAAGATTGCAGTTCCGGCTTGGTAGATCCCTAAGAACATTACAAGTAAGTAAAAGTAGGAGTCCAACCTTTCACCACAGGTGGGGACAGATGAGCAATTGTGCGTGGTTTTCCAAATCAATAAATAGTGATAGTTTACCATTTCGGGTACCTCAAAGATTATCCTCAAACTTTTTTATTTAAATTAAAAATTATGTAGCAGGCCCCGTTTGTGTCGCATAAAAGGTCAACAACAAAACATTATTTCCACAGTGCACTATTATAAATAGATTATACCAGATGGCTAATCCTGTACATACCAAAGACTAGAGAACATTTTGCCCATACCGTACAAACTGGAACTACGTTGCAGTATCTCACTTACCTGAAATCAAAAAGTACATTTAGATTTGTGACTTCTAGTATCACCATTTACAGTAATAAAACTAGAATGTACAGTGATCGACAAAATTATTGATTCTTCAACAATTTATGCCTAGCTCACAACTTCTTCGAACTTACTTTGACCATTGTGTGTAATCAATGCTTTAACGCTAACTATATGTGATGGAACCAGTGTTGAGCGCTAAATTTAAATTAAGGATTGACGGCTTTTATTCTCTTAAAAAAGCGCGTCTTCGTCTTCGAGGAACTTGAAACAGTAGCTTTTAATTTGCATTTATTTTTTTAAAATTTTGTTGTGAAGTTAGAAAATGTTGGGACTTCTAAGAGTACAAATTTCACAGAGTATCGAAGTCGAGCGGGTTGAATTGACTCTCCAAATAAATAATATTCTTAGTGGAAACAAAGAACAAACTGGTCAACCGTGATGGAAATGAAGCTCATCTTGGTTGCATTGTTTGATGTAAATGGAACATTGTTTCATAATGGGTTTCGGAAGCCTTTCAAACCGAGATGCCAGTTGGAAAGCACAACCTTTTCCTTCTGGCATTCAACCCAAACTGTGATCCACACTAAAATACAATATGCTTCCTCGCCGATTTTAAATCGAACCACGACAACAATACATGTAGACACAGTAAACCATTTCCACCAATCCTTTACAGACGCTACTAGTCATCCACATTCCAGGGGTTTTCATTCTGAACTTAGTTATGATCTCGTTTAAATGAGATCGTTCTCGTTTTACAAATATGAGCAATAGACCTATTGTATACGTAGAATGTAAATCCGAAAATAATGAATCAAAGAGTCGCAATTTTGTAATTAACGACTTAATTAAAAGTTAAAACCTAACTGAATCGTATATCCATATACAGGGTTGATCGATCCAGGTTACAATTGACACCGCCGATTACTGCTTTGCAAATAAAACTTTTAATACGAATATAACCTCAGCACGTGTGCTAGTGATTCACATGGACTCGTCCTTTTCGTCCACCAGAGTTGCGAACGTCCCTCTGTTGTTTAGTCGCCTTTTACGACACGCAGTCTCCCTGCGGTAGGGTTATTCTTTCCCGCCCCTACACGGGTAAATTTTTGAAATAAACTACTAAATGGATAAAGATCAGAAACTCCGTACAATCGGCATAAACAGTTTGGAAAAAATATATTTTAGTATCCGTTCTGCAGCGGGCTATAATAGTCGTAGGCTCACGCCTAACAATGTGCCAGAAATTCATGTTAGATTGAAAGGTTTCTTTAAATCCTTTACAGTATATTCGACTAGCCGCATTTCAAACACCTTCTGAAAGAATTCTCATCTTAAGAGGTTAAAACATTTATTTGTTACTCAGTTGTAAACGTTGATTAACAAGACAAAACGCAAACGGGTAAACGTCATGTTTAAACGCTACTGACTTGTAAAACTGACAGCTGACCTGTAAAACTGACAGCTGACCTGTAAAAATTTTACAAGTTAGTAATCTAGTAATTTCATTGGCCAGAATTAATGCGAAGTCTCTGTTACATGGATAACATGATATTTTAGACATTTCTTCAAGATCAATTTAAGAACTAATTATTTACGTTTACTATTGTTTACAAATGAGTAACAAATAAAATATTGTACATTATACGCCAGGTAATAATTTTTATTCACGATCATATTGTAATCAGTATCATAATTGTCATTTTGAAGGATAAGGAAGTTGTATTTTACAACACTTATTTTTCCAGGAGGGAGGAAAGTTGATTCTGGAGGTTAGTAATATTCGATTCGAGGTTAGTAATATTCATTACCTACCTCGATTTAGTTGCTAATATCCTAATGGATGGCGCTCTCATCGTAACTGTCTGACACTGATGACAGCTGATTTAGATTCAAATTAATCAAAACCGCATTTTAAAAACAATTCTTAATTTTACTATGAGTAATATGGATTATTTTAAGTTTTGTGCTTTTTTTTGTAAATTGCAAATGAACGACCAAACGCCAAAAAGTGGAATTGATTGTTACTTTAGAGAGACCATTACTGTTTCGATTTCTGGGTGGAAAAGTTCAATTCTTGTCTAGACATGGAAACATTGGGTTGCGAATTATTTTATTTTTGTTAATGGAATGATTATAATGATGATCGTGAATAAAATCGTATACGAACCTCGACGAAAGGTTATTTTTCTTAGAATATAATCACCCGAGGCGCGCAACATTCTTCGAAAAATAACCTACTTTCGCACTCGGTGCGTAATATACTATTACTGGCTCTAGGAGATGACAGGCTCGCCTGACGCCTCGCCAGTCAACTTCTCCTATCGCCAGTAAAAACTCACTTACCTGGCTAATAATGTAAAATACTATTAAAGATCCTATGTATGTAAACTGTTTATTGATTCTTTAAAGACCCAGAAAGGGACTTTTTCCAGAAATTCCTTGCCGGTTTTGTGACGCTTTTTCAAAGATAATTCAAAAATTCTTCAGAAATTTAAATATTTTAAATTTCTTTGATATCCTTTGGAAGTATTCTTTTGTGATTGTGAGAGCCATCTAAAAATCCGTACTCTTCAAGGGTTCAAATATTTTCTAACTTGCAGAGATTTATCAGGAATGCTTAACAACGTGTTAAATGTTAAAGACAAGGTAAACTATCGGTACAAAAGTAGGTGCCCCATTCTTATTATGACAGGAATATACGCACTGTCAATATTCGACGAGATTAACTGGCCTTTTTGACCATTTGGTGCACCTTAATCCGCAAAAAGGTAATACAATTTAAAATTGAATCCAGTTCCAGATACAAATTTGAATTTAGCATCAGTTTTTACACTACGAAATAGAACGTTGACCGGCCATCATTGCGCATGATAATTCTAGAACGCAAGATCTTAGGACCTTGAAACTTGCAACCTCTAGTGCAATGTTGAACTTTCAAGAATTATTCTTAACAGATTTAACATATATTTTTAGAGATTGTTTATAACTCGGCCAGATGTTTGTAGAGATTCTTCAGACATGTCTAGCAAATTATTCTTTTCTAGAAAACATAAATGATTTTGTAGTTATTCTCTTGACAAAATTTAGCTTTACTTTCCGGCGTGCTTGGTTTAGTACGTTAAATTCGTCAAATAGTGCTCAATTTTGCATTCGAGCATTTCGATTTTTAAGTGAATAGTGGCTCGAGACGATGAAGCAGCTCAAGCTAAAAGATATTCTTAAATTGTTTATCAAAAGTTTTTCAGAAATTTATGAGATATTCTTCACAAATTCTTAACGATTCTTTCAGAATCTTTACGTTATTATACCGAGTGAATATTTTAAAACCGAACATAGGCAATTAACATGGGAAAAACGTTTTTTTGCATATCGTTGCTCCCCAGTTTAACTTA